AGTGAATGATTCTTTAATAAAATAACGATCACTATAGTTAAATTAAGTTTTAAAGTGTTTTTGCGAAATTTTTCAGGGTGGCCGTTTTTTTTGCCGGTCAGTGTAGATGTTGAATGAATTAATACTGTGATCGTTTTGTGTTTTGTTATATTTTTTTCATTACAATGTGTTACTAGTTTGCTCTTGTCTTAAATTTATTAACACGCAAGCCAAAATATTTGATATTGTGTACCAGTGCAAGTAAGTAAGTCAAAATTTCTTGTTTTCTATAACGAGTAGAAGGGTCTACTCTAAAGGAATAAAAACACGATTAATAATAGATTGACAATACGACTATAATGTATTTCGAAGCCTTTGGTATTTAAGATACAAATAATATATAAAATCTTGGGAATTTTAAATCATTATTACTCAAAACACGCTGGTTTTGAGTTACGTGAGTATTGCTCTCACAGTGCGAAATGTAGGTTTGGAGTCTCAAAAGATGGAATTGTTGAATATAGTACGAATGTGGATACGTTGAAAGTAACATCTTCGTGACGCGTTTCAAGAATGGTATTCCTGGAAAAGAATGGTTTCAGAAATTTAAAAAGCGGTACCACATGTAAAAACCCTACCAAGCGTCATGTTTTCAGGACAGAACAAACAAAACCCCACATAATTTATGAATTTTTCAATTTATATGAAGAAACTGTTAACCATTTGAATTTAATGGGGAAACCTCATCTATAGATATATATTATAATATTTAGTTTAGATGTGACATTTTTATCTATGACCTGCTGAACTCAAAACTTGTCGCAAAAAAATCAAAATGTATTTAGACAAACTGCGGGTGTGTGTGTGCTTCAGCAAATGGAGATAAATTACCGATACCCTCCTTCATAATTTATAAAACCAAGTATCTTTGGGGCTCTTGGATGCCTGACGACACCTACCCAAACACCTTTTTTATACTTTTTTAAGGAGGGGCCATTATTAATAATTTTATATGGCCATCAATCTTACATATCTCCCAATTTATTAATTGAATTGGCCATTGAAGACGAGATTACTATATATACTTATGAAAGCTCCCACTGCGCACCATACATATTCCCGAGCCATTGGATGTGTCTTTATTTAATGTACACAAAAAAACTGTGGGATGCTGAGAAAACAGCTTAGCAACGTGAAAATTGTCGCAAAGCCTTGAACGAAGCGGATTTTAGTACCTTAACTGGACACATATGGCAAGAAATAACAAAAGAATCTAAAAAAGGGTTTCACAACTCGGGTTTATATAATGAAAATTTAGATGTTCCAATTAATAGGCACGCCATTTAACAACGATATGTTTCTTCCATTAGTTCCATTAGACTTAGAACAATATTATAAAAACAGAAAAATGATAATGAGACAAACGTTCTTAATGAGACTGAAGCTAATCAGACTGAAGGTCCTCTGATAGAGTTAGTGTACTTACTACATAATACTGAAATTAACATCTACTGAAGATGTTTGTAATACGAGTGAAGCTGAAACAATTGAACCAGTAACTGAACAACCAAGTACTTCTAGCATAAGTTTTGAAAAATTACTTCTTGGAAAAGTGAGCAGAACTCCAACGACGAGATTCAAAAAAAGAAAATGTGCACAACGCTAGAGGAGGTGACTATGTAGATTACATGTAAAATTCAGATACTAGTGGAAAAAAAATAGTAGGTAAACAAAGCAAGCGTCCAAACAGGCATTCGTTAACGATTGGGGATGAACAAATGAGTAGCGAAAGTCCAGTATCTAACTCCTTATCTGATCGTAGTTTAGACAACATTTATATCGTCTGACAAACGAATTTGATACCAATAATGTGTTAATAAATCAAATATCAAACATTTAAGACTGGGTTACTCTTACCTACGCAACAAAAAAGCCCTGAAAGCGATAATATTGATGTAGTGCCTTTAGAAGACATTTTTGGAGTCATCCCTAAGCCAAACGACTACAGGAGAAGGCAATTTTTTTATACGGAAACAAGAATTATCGTTATTTTTTATTTTCCAATTTTTTTCCTGAATTCCAATTTTATAAGACACGTACGTAAATAGTTATTTATGCAACAAGTGCAAAAAGTGACTGATTCTTGCACGCGACGTAACAATTGTCCGACGAGACCGAAGGTCAAGTTGGACAATACGTCAAGTGCAAGAACACTTTTGCACGTGTTGCATACAACATTTTTTCTACAATCGTGGGTATAATGCACCAGTTTTATTGGAAACTTAAATAAAATTCTACAACAACCAAAAGGTATCATCATGCTGTCTTATGTTAGTTAGTCGTGACTACCATGACAACCAAACAATGTTTTCAAAAAAACCAATTTGCAAAATAAAATAAAACGCCATAAATAAGTAGTGAGTGAGTGTTTTGAACCGTGCTGACCTCAAAAAGAGCGATTCGAGCGAAAATGAAATTACCGAGATGGCCAATGCGGAAATATTTAATTTATTGCCCGAGAAATCCCACAAAACAATACGATCTGACATACAACCGGTTCAAAGAATGGTGTGCAGACAAAAATGTTGTGTAGTTAACAGAAACCGTGCTTCTGGCTTATTTTTCCAATCGGTCAACGAAGGTAAAGTCTTCTACCCTATAGTCCGAATATTCCATGATACTAATAAAAATTTTCTTGCACTAGTGCAAGAAAATGCCACTTTTTGCGCTCTAAACCATTGACATTCTTTACACAATTGTAGAAAAACATTTTTTTTATTCTATATCTACAAGTGACCATACGAGTCTAGCAACCGTCTGACATGTCACATTTTCTTTCTAAAAGTGTATCAGCTTTAGCAGAAGCACTTTTATTCATTTCTAAGCATGCACTTAAAGGTGTGTCACAATTATCGGAAGCAGTGTCAGAATTAAACGATTTTGGAGGTTCAATGTGCCACTTCATACCCAAAAAAAAACAATATTTGATATAAAAATAGAATCAAATTACCATTCAATTAATTGCTTCCACCAAAAAAAGAGATCGTTTAAAAGCTATCCACGAAATTAGATTTATTTATTAATCGCTTTGTTTGAAACCAGAAAATCCAAACAATTCCAGAAACTATAGGTATCACTAGAGAGCGGATTTTATGAAATTTGCATATTCGTTATTTTTTGCATATAAGTCTTGATATTTAATATGTGCACGAATCATGCTAGCTAGAAATGAATATAGCTATAAAAAAGTTGCATATTTGCATATATTTGCCTTCTGCTGCATATTTCACGTAACGGGTGCATATTTTGCATTTTTATCAATTTTTGTGCTAATTAAAAAAAAAAAAAATTGGCCATTCTATTGGCATTTATCTAGAAAGACGAGATTTCATTAATCATGTTGCAAATATTGTCCTGAGCTTCAACTACCTCGGAAAGGTTTGGGTTTTATGGTAGTTTGGAGAAACTACTGGGTGTTAATTCATCCTTCTAGGTAAATTCGGGCTCTAGATAATTACTTTTGGAAATATCGTTCATTCCCAATATTTTTGTTCGATAAGTGTATTAATAGTATGTTTAATGGTGGTCGAAGGAACGTTACCTTGTTATTTTTCATTGCGAGTTTGCATTGAAAGCATTTAAAGCAATTTAGGTGCGTCAATATGTCGAAGATAACTCAAATTAATTTAACTATAAACATTTTATTTATGTATTTTTTGTAATAAAACGTAAGCTCGGGAAACCTGTTTTTGTAATTTCTAAATAAATTTAGTTTGGTTATTACGTTTTTTTTTTACTTTTGAAGCATATGCAACTGCATATCTCTGCATATATTCAGAAAGTTACTGCATATTTGCATAAATTTGATGCATATCATATGATCATATTTCCCAAAATTTTGCTGCATATTTTCCGCTCTCTAGGTATCACCTTTAGACGGATGCACTCTATTTGAAATATCAGTTTCTAAGTTCAACTCGTCGGTATCCGGTATGGTTTGATGCGGAAATTATTGAAACAATACAGTTAAAAACAGTCCTTCATAACAACTATAAAAGGTTTAAAACTCATTACTATTAAATATTGCAGAACTAAATGCAAGTCCTTAATTCACAATAGTTATCTTAGGTAACAAAGTACAGTATACTGTACAGTCATCATTTTCATCAGACCCGAAAAAATTTTGGAAGTATATTTAAACTAGAAAAGGAAGATCTAAATTCTAGGACTAATGGAATATTTAGATCAAGAACTTGCAACACTGTCAGATATTACGAGAGAAGTGTAATGACGTAATGAAGAGTTCAATAATCTTCAAATTAAGATGGATTGTAAATCTCAAAAGTAAATATTTGATACTGTATCACAGTCTAAAAACTCAGTGACAGCTGGTCTGGATAATATCCTGAGTGTCCTCCTAAAGGGTTGTGCTTCAGTTTTCTTTTACTTATTTATTATAATCATCCATTATTCAACATTTCCCATGATCTGCAAGAAAGCCAATATTACACCTATTTTCAGGGACACAGTAGTTTTTGCTAAATTTAAGGCATTAGCAATATATTTTAATTTTTATGATAATTTTTTAATAAAATATGCTACCGTGATACAACAGTATATTCAGGAAAAAAATTCTTTACAAGAATCTTTAAGAAAACATATAAGGTGTCATTAAAAAAAGGCAAAAACAAGTGAATGTTAAACATTTGCTTTTTAAATCAGACCGTGGTACCTGTATTTAAACCGATTTAATTTAACTTGAGCTTATCAATCACATAAAGCGGCCTATGAGCCTCGGCTTTTTTGCCAAATATACGCTATATGTGTTTTAAATATTCACCGTTTGCCCATCTTAAAAGAAATATATCAAGTCTAATAATAATAACTTCCATATTTTTCAAATATCGTTGTTTTCAGCCCCTATTTCATTTTACTGAGTTGAGCAACAGTTTTCTATAGCGGTCGTCTACACATTAGCGCTATCGATCCTCCTAGCAGGATGTCCTGCAACTACTGAAAAAGCTTGCTGAAATACGGAAGCTTCAGTAAAACACGCGACAGTGACAAATACATATACAATGGGGTTTTATTGTATTTATCTACCAGTGTTTGTGACCATAGTGTTGACATCATTTGTGTCTGCTCGTGCGGTAGGTATATAATCAACAAAACTTAATTTATTAGTATATTTCTTAAGGCAGGTATTTTTGTTTTACGCCACGTACTTTTCATTCCTGAATAAGTAAACAAGCAATTTTCAGCTTACTCCCTGTAAATTATTCAAACGTCACCAAGTATCGGGTATGTTTCAGTCTCAGTATCTACATTATCTGACGGAATTTGTTCGTGGGTTCTAGCGAGTACATTTATCGTTGTACCCCTTTTTATGACTGCATTTGCTTATATTTTTTTAAGTCAATTCGGTTTTAAAAAAAGATCAGGCAGACCTAAATATAGGTATATATAAATTTGGTCCACTTAAACAGAATTTCAGTTATTTAAATAATATATTACTGACGTATACTTAGGTTAAACAACATCTTCTCGTGAATGAAAAATCGTCAGCGAGGCTTTTTTATATACTTTTTTAATATCTTATAATATTATATGCTGTAGTAGTTACCTATTTGTTCTTGCATTGCTGGAAAGGAAATAGGTCAGATTAGATCTTTGTAACCTCTGGGATATTAAAAGCAACAATATGATGGGATTATTATCGAATTGAAGGCAGGAAAAAATGTATACATTTTTTTAATCCAACTGTGAAATTTCTTTCATTCAACAATTTGCTGGAATTAAACTTCCTATGAAAGGAACGAAACGTAGAACTTGAGAGATGGGCAAGAAAGTTTCAATTAGCATTAGGTTAACAAGGGGTGTGGGGAGCGAACAAAATCAAATCCTAGATAATTATGTCCTTTGATTTTCGAACAAGAATTTTTGTGTAAGATGTATTAACGAATAACTAAGGTCACAAAGGCAAAAAACAAAAATTCTAATAATTAAATTTAAATTCATTCCTTTCACTGTGTTTGAATAAAATAAAAATTACAAAAAACGTGTACCTAAATTTCCTGTATTAACATACCTTACTTTAATTTTGAAGTTTACTGCTTAAAAGAAATATTACGCTAGTGACCGGCAAATATATTTCTAAGGTTCTGTCAAAATGAAATTCAAAAATCTGTGTTCTTCCCTTACAAGGAAAAAGCAGTTTAATGTGTAATTTCGTCTCATTTCTACACTGGAGATCGATTTTACTAAGATCATATTTTTTGTGGCTGAAATGGGAATTGTTACTTTTAGTAAAAGCTCGTAATTAGCACTTGACCTGGGGCTGCACGCCGTGTTAATTTTATAAGGTGTTAAATTATTGTAGTGTGTGCATAAGATTGTTAGAAATTTGCAATTAACAAAGGTTTTCGTCATACCCTCCCTATCGACAATCACTTATCAATCTTTTGCCTCATTTACATCGGAACTGTGGGTTGAAATTTGTGACTTGTAAAATCTGAGACAGTGAAAATAGCTATTTATGGTATAAGTGAATAAAAGTGAATTTTATCCAATCAAAAAACAGTTTAGAACACGAGGCGAAGCCGAGTGTGATAATGTTTTTGAGTGGATAAAATTCGTTTATTCACGTGTATCATACAAGAGTTTTTCCAATTTCGCAAAATTTTTCAAAAAATTTATTGTTTAGGTAATCCATATACATAAATATTAATTGTACTATTACTAATATGATGAACATTTGAAGAAGGTAAATTGCCTAAGCTGCCTGTACTTTCGCCACGGTCAAATTCAAACGAGGCTCCTGGACTTTCATTAGGATTGTTTTACAGGAGGTGGTATCAAGCGTTGCAAATTTTAGTTGAATATCCACACATCCATAGCAACGAAAATTTCAGTGGTAGTACGAATTTTTAGATTTTTTACTTTATTCGTTTTGTCAATGACAATGTGAATAAGGTGTTGCTATAAACATTTTTTCTACTCTGCGTCGTGTATTATACTCGTTTCATAAGACGCATCGTTGCACTCGTGTCTTTGAAGCACTCCTCGCTTCGCTCGTCGTGCTTCAAAATACTCGTGCGCCAATAAAGCGTCTTATGCAACTTGCAGGGCCGTCTTAAGCATCCTCTGCGCCGGGGTGCGAAAATCAGCGTTGCGCCCCCCTGTCAAAAATTAATTAACTCTGTTTTTTACAGAGTCTAGAGCCCCACATCAGAATCTAACGTTACGGGTGGTTAACTTAGAAGGAGTTAACCGTCACAATTCACTTAAATATTCTATTCATATTTGCCAAAAATCAAAAACATAATGATGGTTCATCTATTTATTAGATAAACAACATGGCTAGGAAATTCAAACGATGACAATCAGTACAATCTTAGTACAATTATATAATTTACACAGTACAGATGTCAGATCAGAATGATTAAGGTAAACTTAAAACTATTCTGTGCCATTTCATACATAAAAGTCAATTTTTCTCACTTTTGAGATTTTATTTTTTTTTTATTATTTCGGCTATTTCAAAATCTATTTCTTTTTCAATGCTTATAATGGCCAGGCTAGTTAATCTATCTTGGGCCATGGTTGACCGCAGATAATTTTTTATTAATTTAGCTTAGAAAATGATCTTCGCCCTCAGCTACCGTCACTGGAAGGGTTAAATATATACGTAGAGATGTTGAAAGATTAGGAAATGCGGATAGTAAATTATTCGAATACATATATATAACTTTAAATATCAAGTGGAGTTGTGTTCTTATTTATAAAAAATATTGGCAACAATTCTAACTCATGGAATAGATCTTCCCCATTTAAATATATCGGATCTATTTCCATATGTTAATTTCTCTTCCAAGTTGAGAAATTGTGGTTTTTTTTGCTCTAGCTCCGATTTCCTCCAGTTTTCTATATTTTCTAAAAATGAAATTTTTTTATTGTGTTGTATTAACAATTCGAATCTTTCATTTATTTTTGCAATTGCCGTGTCGAATAAATAATAATAGAAATTGATTTTAAAATTTTGCTTTGGGTCTAAAATGAGCTCATCTGCAGTTTCGTAATTAAAATGTCTTTTTCGGGGACGTGGACGAACAGTTTGAACAAATTCAGTTTCATACTCTAATTTTTCAGCAATTGATACTGAGTCAAATAACAAGTGTTTAAATGCTGTGTCAGTACGGTTTGTGGCTTAGAGGCCAATTCCAAATTGGCCAGTTGCGCCGGCGCAAGTCACTGGTGCAGCGCAACTTTGTAATGCTGATTTGGGTATCAAATGCTGCTGGTTGCTAGGGGTGACGGAATAAACAAACGCACTTGTGTCGAATTTTCCATTGCAATTTGCACCATGGAGTTGCGGCACCTCTAGTAGGCAGTGCAAGTTGGCGCAATTTATCTCGAAAAATTGCGGTCGTCTGTCAAGTTTGTTGCGGGTGTTGCTGTTAATTTATTCAAAAATTCTAGTAAAGGTGAGGATAAACGACGAAAAAATTACCGAGAGACCTAAGATGTTGTCGTTGCACCCTCGTTGCATTAATGGAAATTTTGAACTTGAAAATTTGCAAGAACTGTTGGCGCAAATCGATGGCGCAAAGTTGAGTTGCGCCGGTCAACTTGGAATTGGCCCCTTATAAAAATTTTTTGTAAATTTTTAGTGACAATATTAATTTTTGATAAAATATTGTACCAAGTAACTACTGAACATATAAACTTAAAACTCTTTAGTTTCGACATCAGTGAGCTTGCTATGTTCCTTGTGTCGCTGTCATACTTGTTATTTGAAACAATAAAATAAGTACAATGCATCATACATTTTTTCCATATTAAAACGTAGCGTTAGAGCGTTAATTCTACATACTTTCCCAGCGCGTATTTGACAGTGGTTTTAATGTCAAAGTGGGTAACTGATTCATGATCACCGTGATGTTGATCCGGAAAAAAATACATAAATTTCCTGGACAATTGAAAAAAAAAATCGTTATTTCCTTCTTTCAACGCAAATCAAAAATTAAACAATATATTATTTAGTTAGTATTTTTCACTTTTCACGGTTCACTATTTTTTCAGGGCACTTTTCACTATATTTTCAGAGAAGCAGCGGGTGTTGCAAAACCAATGAAGAAATTTGTATTTTGGGGCAAAATATTTATTCTTGAAAACGGATCATCAAAGAAAGTATTTACCGAAATAATGTTTTGAAAATAGTTTACAACTACCAGCTACTAGCGCGGCGCCCTTTAACATTGCTCTGAGAGCGGTCAATTTCGCCCCACGTGTTTTGGGCAGAATCAAAACATCATAAAAAATAAAATAATACCTACATCTGCCAAATTCTTGGATTTCAACGCTATTTCGGCTTGCTCATCATAACTAAGTTTTAGTAAGGTTTATAACGTGCGGACTAAGGTCTAGATGTCATTGTAAAATAAATGCACAGGGTTGTCCTCCCACGCTCCGATGCTCACGTTAATTTTTATTACACTTAAGTGTAAGGCTGGCCACTTGCGCCCCTAGGGCCTTGCGCCCGGGCGCCTTGCACCCCTGGCACCCCCGGGTTAAGACGGCCCTGGCAACTTGCATAATAATATACTATTATTCATCCTTCCGATTAAACTATTGTTTTAATAGCGAGATTTAACATACAAAATGAGCATTTTATTAGTAGAAATTGGAAAAAAAAAACATTTATCCTAGCCTAATTGCAAACGTATTATACTACGTTGAAGTAAATGAAAAAGGAATTCAAAGTGCTCAAAAAATGGCGCACTAACTCTATGACACATTATGAAGGACTGTTTATTGAGTGGAAAAAAATTGAAATCCTTGGGCCCAAATATTGAAAACATACATAGTGTAATTTTTTTTGTGAAATAGTTTACAACATTTTAATTCACTACTTAGTGGTGAGTACATGAAATCGATCGGATATTCAAAACAATTTTAGAGGTATCTCGTCTTTCTCCATTGTTTTCTTCATTTTATAAAATCACAAAAAACTTAAAAATTGTTCAGAGCGTTTCTGACAACACAGGCAAATTTTTCCCTTCTTTTGATCTATCCATCTAAATCGACATTTTGCTTTTGTAAGTGAATATCAAACTGACGTAAGCAATTTCTTAATAATGTTTCTAGAATTCGGACTTTTTAACTTAATAATGTGCCGTTAGGTTAGTCCGCGGTTCTTTGAGCATCCTGTATATGATGTATGTATATATAAAGAATTCACGTTCGGTAGATGTAACTAGATTTGGTTACTTTTTTTTTAAGCTGTGTAACTGCGGACATAATTGTTCTAGTGTATAATGTACCAGAAAGTAGGTATCAAAAATGTGATGGTTTTGTGGTAATCTGCTGAATGTATTTTTGAATCAAGGAGAAAATCGCATCCCTCTAAAAAGCCCAAACAGCAACCCGCATGTAAAATTGTGAATCTTTTCCCTTCACTAGTTATTTTAGGAGGACAAGCTTTGATGTCATCATGGATCTACAATTTTACCATGGATCCGTTTTAGTATATCCATGTCTCATCCAAGAAAATGAAAAGTAAATCTTCACCACTATCACGCAATTAGAGATACTGCCTAATTAGAAATTTGATTCTGGCAGCTATAACGTGTTTAAAATGTGAAAAACGTCGCCTTCGGAAATCTAAAGTTATACGTGTATTACGTTATTCTCAAATCTGAGTGTTTTCCATCTTGCAAAACAATAAGGATTATATAAAACTTAAAAACCAATTGTAGAGCAGAACCAATAAAATATGTAGGTATATAAATCTGCGCAGTCGTCTTTCTGATACTGATTATAATATTAACGGCACCAGCACTGTTGCATCGGTATTATTTTAAAATTCGAAAAACACTCGACAGCACCAGCGAACTTTACGGAAAATATTTCTGCCAACAGTTTAACTGTTTCCGTTTTACCCAAGCATTGACCATTCTTCTCTGTAATTTTTTGAAAAGCACGAAATATTTCTTGTTTCTTTTCCTTTAAAATGGGCTTTCTCGTGACTACTTTTGTGTAAATTGTTTCCATGCTGTACTTAAGGATTTTCTTGAAACGAAGCGTGTTGAAATTGGAAAAAATTTAGAAAAACTTTGTTTTTTTCCACACAATTCAGATTTGACATTTGAATTAGAAAATGAGACAGTTGATGTCAATCTTTAATTTCTAGTGATCTTAAGACTGCAACTTAACCACAAAAAATTTCTGTCAGCTACTTCTACCGAACGTGAATGCTTATTATGTAATGTAAGTAATTAATATTTTCGAAAAAGTTATATCGTAAAATATTTCCTTGATATTTTGTATCACACTCATTTAAATTTAAAATAATCAGTATCAGCAGTCCTAATCGTTTTGTTCTCTTAGGTGAACATCAGCAACACATGGATGCTTCCAGAAGAAGGATTTCCAGTATTTTATAGATATTTCCGTGATCGTATTTCTTGGTATGAGGCTGATGCCGTATGTCAATTTCATCATGCGAATCTAGTGACAGGTAAGTTACTAATACCCTTAGGTAAAGTCGCTTTGCACTTTTATTTTTTTGTAAGGTACCTAAACAGTAAGGAAAGCGGGGAAAACTTTTTTTTATGTAGGTACATACATTTATTGTGCTGTAAAGTGTGGTCTCTTTCTGCATTTTACTTGATAGCCCTGAACTGTTATAAATAACATACCTCATTACGTAGATTCTTTTTCAGTGGGAGTATAAACCGTTTGGTATTTTTTTGTAATTACTACTTGATTATTCTAAAGTTTGCAATTATCTCTAGATACAAGTAATAATAATTATTATTATTATTTGTTATGTTGACAATGTACGACAGAATTTTCGTGTATGTCAACAACTGTCAGTCATAAAAAATTAAAAAAATTCCTCAAAATGGCTTCGAACAAACACAAATTTATCGACCGAACACCATTAATTTTAGCAGCTGGTAAGCGATCGAATGATACGGAAGATAGTGTAGCAAACTGTTTAAAAAATTACTCAATCGCTGATACATCGGAAGCACTGAAATATGTGGCTAACATGGATGAAAAGAAAAATAAACCTCAATTTGAAACTGAAAAATACAAAAACACAATGCGAAAAGGAATTTTTACAGAAATTAAACCAATTTTACAACCAAAAGTGAAGACTCGATATCAGTCATTAATAAATGAACTGAAAGAAACTACTTATGAGTCCCACTGGAATAAGGTTCTTGGAAAAGGAAGGGATCCAATTCCTGGACTGCCAAAAGGATTAAATCCATTAGAAGTGACCTTTGGGATACAAAGTAATAAAGATGAATCGGTCAAAGAATTAATCAATCCTTCGAAAGGGGTGTACCAGATTTTAACAGAAAGTCAAATTGGTCATGATTTATATAAGAAATCACACAACAACTACAATGCCGGAGAAAGAATTTGTCGCAATTATCTGACACCTGCATTTGATAGTACAAAACGGTTTGGCGAACATAGTCGTTATGATCCTAGAGGAATATGGGTTCGGTGTGCTTGTACTTGGCATCAAAATGAACCTGTGGTTTTTGTAAATAAAATACAAGCTGATTTTCTAAATAGAACTAGAAGTAGATTAGGTGAGTGTCTGACACCTAACAATATTAAAAAACAGTTACCCGAAAACTTCGTTTTTGGAAAACCTTATAAGAGAGAACTTTATCGTATTGAAGAATTGCTAAAAGATAGCAACTGTCCACCATGTGAGTTTAAACGAGATCTTAAACGCTGGCTAACGTCGTTCAATACATTAAAAACGTTTATAAGACGAAAAGTAAATATAGAGTTTACTCTAGAAGATCTGTGTCAACGGCTTTTATATTATGATAAAGAAAAATGCGGCACACTGCCTCTCGAAGTATTTTATGACGTTTGTGCTTGTTATCACTTCCTATTTGACAAAGAAAATCTTGAACCGTTTTTGCAATTGTTATCGATTATTTGTAACGATAGAATTGAATACAAAAGGTTTTTAGATATTGTAAATTACAAGAAAGAACCCATACAACTTATGAAACTTCAGGATATTCCCGAACAAAATCAATACTATCTTACCAGCAGTCAGGCAGCTGTTTGTGATTATGTCATTATAAATAATGTCAATAGTCCTACGGCAGGAATTCCATCAATTCGAAACGACTTGTCACGTCCGACTGTTCCGTTAGGAGGTTGTCGAGCGGACTTAGAAAATTTGGGAGAAGACTGTTCAGCTGGAATTTTATTAAATCCTAGTATATATCTCAATTACGGATTATCCTTTAGAGACTTCTTCATTCCACGAAATCAAAATGTTATTCGAAGTTTGTTTGAAAAAGCTGGCTACAAGATAAATGACACAATTTTCGAGAAATTATGGTTGGAGAGCATTGAACATGATAAAACTGGATTAGTCTGTGTTGATACCTTCCACAAAATGCTGGAGAAGCACAACGGCGAAAAGAAGAAGCTAATAGTTGATGAAGCAACATGTTGAATAAAAAATTAATTTTTCCTTTTTTTTAGTTATGATGTATGGCATGATAACCAAAAAATTGTTAATAATAACAACAATAGTTTTACCGACATAAGCGATCTTATTTGGTTCAGATCAAACTGCTAAAGGAAAAAATATGACGGAGTTGAGTGTTGCCAAAAAAACAAATTTTATCGAATTTTGTCTCCAATAGCTGTCTTAAGGCCCAATTCTGAATCAAACCTGTTAACATTTAAAGGTTGTTAAAAAAGAAACAGCCAATCAGATTTACGAATTTAACTCGTTACTATGGAAATTTGCAATTTAACACCCTTTAAATTTAACAACTTTGATTCAGAATTGCCCCTTTATTAAGTTATTACAGAGAACATTTTGTTGTTTGTTTTTTTTTTATATATATATAATTGATGTACTGCCCCATTGTTTTGGATTTACCTTATGTGGTGGTTTTCCAAGTAGTTTTGGATTTATTATTTATTTTTCCCTATATGTGTATTTACTGGGCTGTTGTATCGTTTTTACATGTATCACATTTGAAGCGCACTACTGCATTATTTCCTTGTTCCACCTTTTTTTTCTCGTATCATTGTCTAAATAACTGTTTTTATTTTGTGGTTTCTAACCCGATTATACTTTTTATCATCAACAAAAATCGCCCGTATTTGGTAATAGATCTATAGCTACGGGTATATTTCTTATTCTCCGTTTTAATTGTCAGACGATGGAAAAGAGTATACTTGTCCAGCGTCAACTTAAGGAAGTTTTTTGTTGATGGCACCTTATTTCAAAAGATTTACTTGTTAATTTATAGGTTTGTTGTAATTGTAGCCAGATTCCAATCTTCTGTTGTGCTGAAATTCTTATATTTTCCTTTCTTTTTATATATTTTTTAAAAACCGACGTATAGTTTATATCATCGCCTATCTTCCAACCAAATTATACAAAATTGTGCATCATTTTAACATCTTGCAATATTACCAGCTTCTTTAAAAACTTACAGCACTATGGCAAATTTCTTCTTGTACAAGATGAGAAGAGTAAAAAAAACAACAGCTAATATGTGTCAAAATAGATGTTCCCGTTACTAAAGAATTTTTGTATGCACGATGATCGTTTTTAAGTATAATTGTGCCTAAAATTTGAAAGATGCAGCGCCTGATTTTTTTCGAAAGGCGGTTTGCTTAAACGTATGCGTATACTACAAATGTCCCGATTTTATTCTTTTTATAACTAAGTATTATAATGAAATCCATTTGGTGGATGGCTAATTTCATGATTTCTTGACGTCTCATAACACTTAGAAAATGAAAAAAGTGGTCTCCTGTTTTCATTTATATGTTGGCAATTTTATCTACGAATCTCCGATCTCCAGAACAACTGGACTGAGCTAGATTATTATAAAGTAGATGTACTTTAAAAATATCTTGTGGATGGTAATGGAGGCTAATCAAAATTTGTCTCATATTCTCCAAGAAAAATTTGAGTTCATCCGAAAATATGCAAATTACCAAGATTCTGTACTTGGAATTTATTATACTGTCCCTTTTTATACTTTAAGCATGTAGGTTTTTGGAGAAACATTTTAAATGCTACAACAAAATTTTACAATTTAACTTAAAAACCACACAAGCAATTACTCTGAAATTTTATACACACTCTAAGGTTGTCATGAACATGGTAACTTGTTAAGAAGAATAATTGTAATGAAATTACTGGACTGATTCTTGTCAAATTATAGATTTATTTTACCAACATCGTATAAATGATTAAACGCTAACCAAAATTTGTTTGCCTATCCCCCAGTAAAAATTTAATGATGTCATCTGAACAGTTTGCTAGTTAAATCAAGACATCAAGTTTTTAAGCAAAATACGCAAAATTATTTAAGAAGATTTTACAATTTAACTTAGAAACTACAAAACAGATCACTCTGAAATTTTGCAAAGGTTTTAAAGTTATCGTAGGTATGGTAAATCGCTGATCAAAATTTATCTGCCTAGTCCTTCCAAAAATTTGATGACGTTGTCTTAAATTTTGCTACTGAAGTCCAGCCGAAAAATATTATATATGGATCTACACTTGTGGGTTGTCAGTGCATTCAAATTTTTAGAATTCCTAATATAGGTTCGCCAGGAAATTAATGAGTGAAGCATATTACATTACAATAAAATTCTTTTAATTTTGGCAAGGTGTTGTAAACACGGTGTGTTTCTGTTTATGTCTGTCCAACACACTATATTTACGCAGTATTCCGTCCCTAAAATGCTAAGAAGTGTAGGCATTCTGTACTTGCGTAAAAACAGTGTATCGGAAAACAAAAACAGGAACATACCCGATGTTATAATTGGTACAATTTTACAACACTTTAACAACAATTAAAGGAATTTTACAGTATGTAATTATTTGTACTAAAAATTATAATAACTATAATAATATGCTTTAACTTGCTGTATGTTTTAAATAGGTACATATGCACACTTTACTCTCCACGTTTATTTTATCTCAGGGTTACTAGTTTTGGTTCATAGCCGTTATTAGATCCTTTCGTTGAATTTGTACGAAATTGTTATATTTATTATAAACTCAAACCAATATTTTCGTAATCCAAAAATTTAAATGAGATACGTAGTTGGTTGATTTGGCGACATTACTGCGCCCAGCTGGTAATGCAGGGTGTTATTCTCTTGAGCGCAGATGTAGTGGTGTTCCAAGTGATTTGCTAGTTGTGATAATGACGCTCCTTGAGGTATAACTTGATATCCGAACCTGTAGAATGTGGAATCAATATAGAGTTTGGATGGGTGATTGCAAGTTTAGCAGCTGCATCCATCAATATTCTGATGAGGTAGAATCGAGATGAGTGGATGTCTTTGCCGGTTTGGTGGAGAAGAGCAAGTTGGTGTTGGATTTGTTGTACCAGAACGCAGATTGGATACATTTGACCCAGCAGTTTTAAGGAGTTCATGGAGTCAGTACAGATGACGAAATTATGATGTGACGTGATGCGCAAAGAATCATCCTGGACCGCAGCAGAGATGGCAACGAGTTCCGCTGTTAGAATGGAGCTAGTGGCCGGTAGACAATAAAGCTTGATGGAATAGCATAAGCTCCACCAACGCCTTCTGTTGTTTTTGACTCATCCGTGTAAATGATGAACAATTTTGCAGTCGTTGTTAGAGGTGACCGAGGAATTATTAAGATGAAGAGTAAAGTGAAGGTAGCCGCGAGCCCACGGAGCGAAAATTTGAAGCGGTAGGAAAAAACACAGGAAGTGAATAGTTCCTAGTTTGCTTTAAGGAGCAAAGAAAGACGACGGTAAACAGGGAAGTTTTTTGAGTGGTGAGCGACGGGAAAAGAGGAGTTTACAGAGTGGATAAGCTACATCGGCAGCTATTTTTAGACTGTAAGATAGAAAGAGGAAGTTACGACGTAATAAGGGCGAAGGTTCGGCAGCTAAACAGGAAAGAGATGTGACAGGGGTCGTGCGAAAAGCTTCTAGAGCAGAGTTGTGTGTTTAGCAGAGGAGTATGCGAGACAGTCGTAGTCTATTTTGGAGCGAATCAAACTTATGTAGAACCGCAAAAACATTTCTAAGTTAGTTGCCCCCTAATGATGGACTAGAATCTTGAGAAGTGCTAAAGTTTTGTAACATTCTTGAATAATCGAACGAGTATGATCTTTCCAAGTTAACTTCTGGTCGAAGATTATACCTAAATACTTGATGGTCGCCTGGAATGCAATATTTTGATTACACAACTTGAGGACAAGTACAGGTGGGGGGCGAATTTTTGAAAAAAGAATGCCTCTTCTTTTCTCCGATGAAAAGGTGAAAGCAGTAAATCAGTTTTTAACCGTGCAGATGGCACTTTGCATGAGGTGGGTCATCGAAATGAAATTTTTACCTTTAATGTACAAAGTGAGATCGTCTGAGTCGAGAAGAGGTTTGACTGGTGGTTGAATGTTGGAAACTACGTCTTTTATTGCTATATTAAAGAGAGTAGTGCTAGGTACCGATCCTTGTGGAGTTCCCATTTCCAGCGGTCCTTCAGTTGATTTGCATTAACGGTGACTCGGAAGCTTATATTAGTTAAGAAATTTCTGCTAAACATGAACAGCTTGCCTTGAATGCGCCAAGTATGCAGTTTTTTTGAGAATCTGAAAGCGTCAAGCCGTGTTAAAAAGCTTTTTTTAAATCAAAGAAAATGGCGAGCACATGCTGACCGTCTGCGAAGGCATCATGAATTTCGGTCTCCAAGGTTAAAAGGTTATCAGCAGTTGGCCGCGAATTGCGGAAACCGCATTGTCTGGGGTGCAGGAGATTTTGACTTTCCAGATATGAGGTTAGACGTTTATTTAGAATCTTTTCAAACAGTTTACACATAGTGCAGGTGAGTGAAATAGGTTTATAGGATGTGAGTTCAGTTTTTGGTTTGCCTGGCTTTTGCAATCGGTATTATTAACGCAGTAGATCATATAGCTGGATAAGAGCCTGTAAGATAAAGAGAATTATATGCCTAGAGTAGATACACTTTTCTAGAAGAAGGAAGTTTTTTAAGTAGTAAAAGAGATTTCGTCAGGTCCAGGTGCCGAGTTTCGGCAGCTGGTAAGGGCAAAGTCGAGTTCCTCTAGCGTAATGAACAGATACAACAAATTATTGTGTGCGGGAGAAAGTGCAAACCGCTCTTTTTCTTCTCGTTGCTTTAGTTCTAGAAAAACGGAACTGTAATTTGAGAAAGAAGACGTTTTCACAAAAGTGTCTGCCAATATCTCTGAGATGGCGGAATCCGTTGTCTGATTCAGTCCATTACTATTCAATACAGGAACATGAATAGACGTTCAAAATCGTTTGTTTGTTCCAGACTTCGGAGGGGGTTGTGTTGGTAGATACTGTGGACATATAAGTAGTTTCGCCAGGACTCTTTTTTACTTTTTTTGATGACGTAACGAAATTTTGAACGAATACGTTTAAAATCAATTAGATTTTCAGGTGTGTTGTGGCGTTTACCATGGGTGAGAGTTTTTAACAAGCTGAGAT